TGATTATGGAGTGAATCAATGAATTGCAGACAAAATGGACTCAAATTTGCGAAACAATTCAATGAAATGAGTGAAGAGTTTGGACACAAAATGCGTGAAAAGTGTCTTAAAATGTCTTAAAATGTCTTAAAGTGTCACCAAATCTGCGCTCAAAATTCAAAACAAAACTCTTTTCGCAGAAAACGATTCAATGTTTGAAAATAATGTCAAAAATGGAGACAATGTCTGACACACAGTGTCTCATAAAAAACGTTACATTCGTTTCCATAGGCTCTCAAAGTATTGATTTTTAGTGAATACTAATTAGTTTTTTGGCGTTAAATCAATCAATTAAAACACAATTCACTCCTTTTTATAGCAAAACAACAACTCATTCAATGACTAATCAGTTAATATGGGCTCAAGGGGTGGGCTGTAATACCCCCTAAACTGTTCCCTTTAATTACAGTTAACTTCACCCCTCAATAATCCCTTCCCATAGGTCTGTCACTCGTTTGGCACATCTCTGGTCATAATTATCTAATAATTGGATTTATATATCAATAAATAAAACGATAATTGAATCAAAAAGTTTATTATTAAAGAAAATGACATTTAATTGAATTCATAGCCAAATAACTATCGTTTGTATAAATTAAAAAGCTTCTCAATTAAGACCCAACTTTGCCATCAATTACATCGGCGGCGGAGGTGGTGGTGGGGGAGGAGGCGGAGGGGGTGGCGGCGGAGGAACCATCATATTCGACATCTGTTGGTGTGAGCCCATAGACATAGGAGGTGGCGGTGGGGGAGGCATAGCTCCTCCGGGAGACATATACATATTCCACCCGTTATTTGATGTCTGTGTTTGAGTGGGAGGTGGGGGCGGCACGGGAGAGACCACACTCGACGGCACCATTGAGTTCCACGAGCTTTGAGACCAACCCATTGGTGATGTTGTCGACGGAGAGTACATGTTGTTTGAACCGTAGGAATCACTCATAGGATAGGGATTGGAGTTTGCGTTCACTCCATACGGGGTCTGCGATGTCGGCCAAGAGCTCAGTCCTGACGGTGCGTTCCAAGAGCTGGTGGGCTGACCCATAGAGGGGGTCGGCAGTAGCGGTGTCGGAGCCGTTGTCGTTGAGGGAGACATCGACGGTAGAGATGGTGGGGGCGGAGGCGCGGCAATAGCTTTGGGTGCCATTTGCGATGTCATACCGATTGTGGGCCCCATTCCGCCGGCACTGTACGAACTGCCGCCTGTCCGGCGAGGCGGGGATCCTTCGCCCAACTCAGCCATCAGAGACATGTACTCCTCGTCGATCTTGGTTTGGTTGACGGGACCGGTGGGCGTCTTCTTCTCCTTGCAGTCGCGGGCAATATGTCCGACACCATTACAATTGCTGCAAATCACGTTATTGGTCACATTAGGCTTGTCCGGGCACTGCCACGACCGGTGCACTGTTGACCCACAGTTGGAACAACGCGGACCATCGCTCTCCCGAAGAGTGCCGTTCAAGAGCGCCAACTCTCGCAACTGCATTCGTCTCAAGTCGTTCTGGTTTTCAGGCACTTCGACGCCCTGACGGATCACTTCCTTGATCTTCGCACACATAAGCAGTGAAATAACAGTTAGTTTCTCAAACCATTGACAGCAATGCAATCGTTACTCACTTTATGAACCGCTTTGACAACCGAGTCCGTAGTCAAACCAGTGATGAATGCGTGTAAGGGTTCGTCCTCTCCGGGCATTGGCTGACCATCTTTTCTGCCAATCTTTCCTTCTTTGACGGATCCCTTTCCTCTGATTATAATCTTAGCGCCGGTCTGTTAAGAGACAAATGTAAATACAAAGGCATACAAAATAAGTTCAAAGAGTAAATACGTCTTTTTCCATCGCCTTCAATGTGTTCCCTCGCGGGCCAATCAGCAGTCCTACAAAATTGATGTCCGGGTACTCCTCTTGAGGGATGAGAACCTTTTCGCTGATCTTGAGCTGCGGAGGCCTAAGTGAATCTCAGTGTTAGTACTAAGTGTTCGGCAAAATTGGTGTCAATAGCGGACTAACTTGTAATCTGCGGGCGGTTTGTAGCCCGGGTTCAGTGAAAACATAGTCTGAATGGATTCATGCCGTTTGTCCTCTAATTTCTTTCTGGTTCTAAACTCTCGTGTATTGAGTCGTTTGCCCTCATTATTATAGATAGGCTCAGGAGAGGGAGATCTGCAACAGAAGGGGTCAAGTATTCTACAAAACTGTTCATACATTTCATTTCATATATTATAGGAAAAAACGGGATTATATGTAAAGCTTAAGAGTAGACATGAGTTGTCATAATATTCCTAATTGTGTATAAGTTATTGCTATAGAAATCAAATTAAGATTAATATAATGAAATTTGTGCTGAAATTCCTATAATAAAAATGAATTAATGGCTGCAATAAAAGTGTTATTCAATTATATCGGTATAAATATCATCGATAACTCAGCCGAAGACCTAAACACTGTCTCAATCGGGAAATAAAGACTACATTCAGATTAGTGTCAAAAGATAAGCTATCGGTGCGAAACTCGGATCGATTGGGAAAAAATCATTAGTTTAGTGATAGTGTTGTCCATCGATTGGAGACTCAAAATGAATGGCAATGAAAATGTATGACAAATGAAATGAATGACAAAGAAGTGGAATCAAGCGGTGGATTCGGTGGACGACTGGTTGGCAAACCTCTCTTCAGGATTGGGTGGTATTCCGAGATCACCGGAAAGTAATTGACGGCTAATCGCTTCGATCTCTACTTGAACTGCAAGGAAAGCGGATTAAAGGGTCCAAAGACCCCGTGGATTATAGATGTGAACAATCATTGCATACATACTATAAACTAATTATTCAATTATTCACTAAACAGACTGTAATTGAAATCATAATTAATTGTGAAATATATCCTGAAAACAATTGTCATTATTTGGTAATTAATAAAAAAAGTTAATTTTTGTTAGTGTTTTGAGACTATTATGAGAGACAGACAAGAGATCTATAAAGTGGTCAATGGATGAGATGATGGATGCAATACATACGGAGGTATATCTGTTCCTGTTCTTTGGACAGGTTGTTGGGCAGCATTGTAGGCATCCCTGGGATGAACACCTTCTCCTCGTCGTCGCCACCCCATCGACTCTTCCGCTTTCGCTTCCGTTCGCCACCATCTGTGCGATGAGGAGGAAGACAGTGAGTCCATGCATGCGATCATAGTTTGTGACCAATTGGTGGCCAATGGGTGACACTTACGTGAATTGAAGGCCTCATTGCCGTTGGAGTCGTTGTCGTACTCTCTCTTATAGTGACCACTCATGGAGTCATCAACAGTAAGTCAAACACCGATTCAATCAATGGTTAAACGATTCGTGTATTCAATGAACGCTTCAAAAGCAAAACAATCTTAAAGTTTATGACAAAAAATGGCGTTTATTTGCAAACCGTTCACAAAGTCTGTGACACCAAAAATACTGTACTGTACATCACTTTTGATCAACCAATCAGTGAATACAAGTAATTGTGATAATAATTTTGATTAAATAACTAAATATAGGTATCGTTTTACAAATATATTTAAATTCAAAAAATACTTCATAAGACAAATATTCAATAAAACAATTAAAATGATCGACAGATTTATCCGTAAATACAGTAATCGGATATAAAGACAAAAATTTGTTAAATTCAAAGAGATTTTCAATGAAAATCCGTATTTAAATGACTCTTAAAATTCATGATTGGAGTCAATGCAATGCGATTACAATAGTATGAAAATAATTGACTTTAAATTCTTTGTGAAGAGTTAACACAAACAACATTTAACTCAAATTAACGCCCATTCGTGACCTACGGTTGCGACGCTTTCCAGACGACGGGGTGTCAGAGGAGCCGGCGATCAGCGCTTCGGGCGTCAGGATCTCAATCTCGTCGTTAGAGTGGTCTTTGGGAGCCGAGGTCTGGTGTGACAATCGGGCCATTTGTTCGGGCGTCAGGAGGACCTCCACCTCAGACGATGAGGTCGAGTGGATTTCAATCACCTCTTTGGGCTCAGCCGTGCCTTTTGGTGGAGTATTCTTGTGAGGCGTCACGTGTCGGTGGGACTGATTATTTCGGGCCACTTGTAAGGGCACGAATTGGTTCTCAAAAGCCGACTGACCGCCAGATGAAGACGTCGAGTGTTGACGATGTCTTTGTTGTGGGCTATCGTTGATGACATCGTTGGGTACTTTACGCATGATCTTGATTTGAGTCGACCTAACATTGGGTGACGTGTTATTCAAACCATCATTTTTGTTGTCGAATAACTTCTTCGGCGGAACGTTCCGATCCTTATTGAGTGCAGTGTTTGTGTTGGCCTTTGAGGAAGAATTTTTCCCTTTCTGTAGATCTCGAAGAAGTCTTTCATTGTGTTCGACAAATGACTCGGGAATGGGTTGTTGTATAGGTATGGGTCGGACGAAGGGCTGATTCACGGGCTTATTAACGTTGACCCACGAAGAGGGCGGTCGGGGCAGAAAACTCTCGTCAATTCGCGGCCTATTCGGTGACGACTGGTTTGGGTCTATAAAAGATGGCGAAGACAACAGTTTTTTCGGTCGATTTAAGTCGATGTTAGCGTTAAATCTGTCGTTAATAAAAATGAGTCCATTTCGGGCCAAGTATTCAAACGCGTCGTCGATATTGTTGTGGGAATTAACAATCGTTTGAAACGCGTGTCCGTCCGGAAGCGTCAGTTTAATGGCTTTGGATTTCATGGGACCGAAAGTGAATGATTCATATTTGGGATGAAGATTGAAATAGCGATCGCAAGCATTGGTTAACATAGTTCTGAAGCTTTCGATTAATTGGATCCTATTTATCGGTTTATTCGGTTCAACGCTTTCAGCTCTTCTGCTGTCGTAAGAGTTCTTTTGAATTCTGGTCTTCGGATTAGATTTGCTTCTATCGTACGGCTCTTTCGGTTGAATCGACACATTCTGTTGTTGTTGTTGTGTCTGTAGTTGTTGTGGCAGTTGTTGAGGCAGTTGTTGAGGTTTTGCTGTGATCTCAGCAAACGATCGCTTTGGCAATAAATTTTTGTTTTCTGACAAAGCGGTCCATAAGTCAGCCATTGCTGGGAACTCTTCATTCTTGTGAGTCTCGTGTTTCGGTGACTGAAAGGGAGATGTTTTAGAGTGATTTAACGTCTGAATGGAAATTGCTGTCTGAGTATTGGATACATTTGCGTGAGTGAGTGGTTGATTGAACGGTACATTTCCTGGATTCTGGAATCGTTGTCGAGGCATCCGATTACCAAAAGAGGGTCCCGACTGATCCCTGAATTGTCTATTGTTTTGGTATTGTTTATGATGAGGTCTAGTCTGCAAAGGCTGACCAGAACCGACTGCTAGAAACTGTTCAAACTTTCCCGACTGTTTCAGTCCATATGTAATGTTAATGAGGTTTGCGGGCGAGAGTTTGTATCCCTTTCCAGGCGTACATCTAACTGTTAATCCGCCCACAAATTCTTCATCAAATACAATGTCATACAAAGTGTTCACTTCATTGGTGTCGTCCATATTGACGCCAATCACAGTCCCTTTCGCTCCCAATGGCACAGAAATACCGCTTCGGATGTTAACCACGCGATCAAAGAGCTGGAAAGTGGTGGTCGGGTCCGGCAGAGAGTAACCCAAGTAATGGATCGGACGAAACAATTGGTTCGGTTTATACGTCTCTATAACTGAAGGGATATCTTTGGGGAATACCTATAAACAAACATAAGTTTAAATAACAATAATTGTGTTTACAATAAATGTCTTACAATATGAGTATTGATGACATCTTCGATGGCTTCGACAATGAATTCGTCGAGAATTTCTGCGTTACATTTCTGCCGCTTCTCTGCCGCCGACGGAAGAGATCGCAACCAATTCTGAATCGTATCCAAAGTTTTCCCCCTATAATACAAAACGTTATGAAATATAAATCAATAGATAATAAACTAATAAATACTTGTTCTCTCCGGGAATCAAGTCATCGGCAGTGAAGAAGTCTTTGTCGGCACAAGAGGACAGTTTGTCAAAAATGAATGGAAATTTAGTCAAATACTCCTCCATTATCCTAAAGATTTTCTCAGAGAAAAGCCAGACATCATCTCTTTTGATGGAATATCCGGGAATCTCTTCGTTCTTTGCATTGAACTTCAAATTCAATCCGATGTTTATTTTTCTTTGTTTGTCATTCAGTGGCAAAACAAATATAGTTCCCGTAATTCGGGACAAGAGATGTCCACTTATGCCCAGTCGTTGCGCCAACACATAGTTGGGCACATATTTCTCATGTATTATCTCATGAGCTCTGTCCTGGATTTCTCTCAAATCGGGCTCTAATTTAGGAAATACCTCAACAGTAATGAGACCACTCTTTAAGTTGCATTCCATTACACGCGCTTCGGATCCGTAATAAGGATTAGAAACGGGAAAACTTTTGCAACCTTTAGGATACATCTCCTCAATGGTTTGGAACTGTTTGAAGTGGTGTTCATATGTGTCAAGATCTTTGACAACCAACTGAATCGGACAAATCATGGGTTGACTCGACCACTGTTTCTCTAAAGTAACCCTTCCTTTCACTCCATGAATATACTTGCGTCCAGTCATGGGATAGACGTGCAAAACAACGTCCGTTTGGCCCACATGTATACCCCATCTCTCTTTGCATCTCTTGATTATAGCATTAATTCTGAGCCGATTCTCAGAGTAATCTTTGTCATCAAGTTCTTGAGAGACAATCCGATAGCCATCCATAGAATACTTGTGCTGTTCGTTCGACACCTGAAACACCTTCGCTTCCAACAGATGCGGCCAATTGACGAAAACTGTTTGATTCAAATAGCTTTTGGCCACACTATCGATGTTATAGACCGTGTCATTAGTGATGACTAACATCATGTTCTCTCCCATAGACGCCGATTCAAACACACGAACCCTTTCTTTCTTGACGACTGCTTTGTGAGTGATGTGTTGAAGGGTTGGAAAACCGGGGAAATACACCTTCAAATCAACGCCTTTAGAGAGCCCTTTGTGTATCATTTGAATGGGGATTCTGAAGCCATTCAACGGCACTTCAAGACATTTGCTGTGATTCATCAAAAGATCAGGAAATACTGATCGATTGGGCGAAATAAATGTCGGCATTTGTTGGACTTCGTAAGTGAACACGAGATGAGGTCCGTGTCGATTACGGCTCGCCTCCTGTGGTGTTAATTTGCGTTCGAGTTCTTTGACGGCAGTCAACAATCGCTTCTCATCGATGAACGGAATGAGAACCACAGCCTCCCAGGCCTGCATTTTCTCGTTCTGATCGGTTTCAAAGTCTTCGGGATAGTAGTCAATGAGCTCTGAGTTTGGATTCGTCACCAAAGATTCAAAAGCCATCGGCAGTAAGTCTTTGCTAGCAGAGGGAAGTACTGCCAGGAGCTGTTCGAACGGCTTAAACGGCTCTCCCATTTCGAAGTGGAGGTCAATGTCGGCAAAATTGTTCACATCTGAGATGTAGGGCGCGTAGTGGTGGGGATAGAACCAACTCCAAGACATACAGCCGTTGTAATAGTAGTGGAGATTCCACTGAATGGCGCGAATGTATTCGTGTGCCTGTTCTTTGAGCACCGACTCATCCACGTGAGTGTAATTCAATTTATTCATATAGTAGTCCCTCTTATGCGATACGAACTCATCCATAAACAGCTCGGAATCACTGCTCTCGTAGATATCGTCCACTTCTGAGTCGTTATTATCACTATTTTCGAGATCAATGAGCGCCTCATTCTGTGGTATTAAATCACAGATACTTCTGGCGGCGGCAGCGCTTCCGTCGTCGCGATCGCGATTCAAGAGCTTTCGACCCGTTTTAGACTCAAAGTACTTGAGGTCGGCGTACGTGTCGTTGAAGTTATCGATGTCTATATTCCTCAACTCATTCACGTATTTCTGAAAGCGCTCTAAGTTTAGGATTCCGTCTTCGTTGAGATACCCGTCCAGTGTTGGCAACACTTTCTTATACACGGAATACAACTTCAAGAGTGAGCTCTTGTTTATGTGGAAGTGAGGGATGTGTGGAATGAAGTCATTGCCGACGAGGAAACCCATGAGAACCCAGTCGTCGATAATGTTCTCCAAATTGAATCCAAAGGAGAGACATGTCTTGAGTTCAGAGAATTCGTGAGCAATATATTCGCGAAATAGCGACAAATGAAACAAATGAAAAGTAATCGCTTCGGGATTTGAATCCCTTTTGTTTTTCTCGGTTTTGCTGCGAATGTATTTGACTTCTTCGCGGAGGAGAGAGAAGTGCGGTTCGTGTGAACACATGCCTAACATAATGAGGTCGGCGTCCAATCCGTACAGACAGTGGCGAGTGTTGGGGTCATAGGAGGGCTGAGACTTCTCGAAGCGAATGAAGTCCATAACCTTATGCTCTCCTTCCCCGGGCGTCTCGTGTCCGCTAAGTATGACTTTGACGTCACGCCAGAGATCGTCGTTTGATATCTTATTGGCCACGAAGTACTTCAGGTGCTGATGGAGTCGGTCCATGAAAGGAGTGCCCGGAGTAATGCAATTCGAGTCAAAGCGCTTCTCTTCGGGCAACTTCTCGCCCCTCTCTTTGGCCTCCAATTCACGCGTTTCCGCCTCTTTGGCGGACCGGAAACGACGGCCTCTCTGTTGGTTCATCTTAGCCCTCGGGGCCACGCCATCGATGGCCATGAAAAACACTTTCCGCGGTTTAATCATACGGAACAAGAACTCGATGTATCGGAAGATATCTGCGAATATCTTCTCTTCGCTGATCCGGAAGTGCACGTCTTCGTCATTAGGATGCGAACAGTTGTGGATAATGCCATTCATATCCAGATAGAGGTTATCAAACTCCGGGATCTGTTGGACACGAGTTTCGTGAATATCTCATCAGATTTATCAATGGATTCAACTCATGAGTAGCGACCAAACCATACCTGATATTCACGGACCACTTCACTAAGACATGGATAGCGTTCGCTAATCCATCGGTAAAACTTCGGGACTCCCATTGAAACGTCTTGGGATGTGCTGTGAGGTGATCGACGAGTCAAACGACAAGTTTAATTAAAATCTAACGACAAATGAACGATAATTTTGAGCACTTTTTGCAAATATTTGTTGTTTTCATTTGTCTTCAAATGTGTTCACAAATAATGTCTCAAATAATTTGACCGCAAATTGAGTGGTATTTTGAAAACTAAACATTAATTGCAATTAAATTTCAAATCAAATTGTATTCAAATAAAGATCTGAACAGAAATGTCGCTAAATATAGCATTTAATGACTCATTTGTGACTCATTTGCGGGTAAATTGTATGCAAACGGGACTCACAGGGAAGGCATGTGTGAGTCGGCGGACGTGTAGCACAAGTATAGCCCTCTTTGGGACACATTTGAGCGCATTTTGGATACAACTCTTCACGTATTGAATCCATTGAATCCCAAAATGTTTGAATCCATTCTCAACGCAATACCACATCATATGGTAATTAAGACTTCCAGTCATTCACTGATCACTTGATTCACAGTTTGTGTCTTTTTGTGGACAGGACTTCGATGGCCAGAGACGGGCCGAGAGATACTTCCAACTGATTATCGTTGTGTTTGCCGTAAGTATAGCTATAATGACGTGTAATACCAGCAACTGATGACTGATTGGGGGACAGGTGTCGGGTCTGGTCTGGGGGTATGCCGTCCAGCAGTTCTCGCTCACTGTCTACACATTGGGCGCCGGTTTCGTATTGGCATCACTGGTATGCTTGCAATTGATTTGATTGTGTTTAGTGTCTAATACTGTATTGAATGCATTTGACGGCACCTGTAGCTAACACTGCCTCCGTGGCCGATGTATCGCCGCAAACCACTTCAGTGGCAAAAACCCAAAACTAGTGATTCCGGCGCCAAGTCCGCGAAGAAGAAGAAGTGAAGTATTGATTTAAACACTAAATGTACAAAAGCTTGAGTTTATGTCATGTCTTGAAAATTGCGATAATTTGAAAGCTTTTAATACATTTCCGCAAATGATTTCTCATTGCTTTGTCTCATAAGTATTGCTCTCAAGAAATGAAAACCCGATTTTAAATTTAATTTTTGATATTTATTTGTAATTTGTGTTGAGGTCTGGGAGAACATCCCATTCCTTATATTCGATAGAATTTTATATTTAATAATAAAAACAATATTCAATTGATTTTCAAAAACCCGTCGATTTGTTTCTGTCATTTAGTTTAATGTGTCTCAAGAGTTAAATCGTTTAATATTTTGTCAATTGTTTGTCAATTCACTTATATAACATTTATATAATATATACTTAAGCTGTAAATAAGTAAATATATCTCCAAATACTGTACAATTCATTCAACACAAGGATTCGTGTCAACAGAAATGGTATTCATTTAGTGGTTATTATGGTTTAGTGTCGCAACTGATGGTTAGAGTAGTGAGTAGTGAGTCAGTCATCCATCTGTTCGATCTCTCCGGGCATACGGTCTGGATCTGCCTGTACTGTGAAGCCCAGTATGGAGTTGTCGACCACTCTCTTGGCCTTCCGGTTCTTCTTCTTGGAGGCCGTTATGAATCCACTCATATCTGCATCACTGGTGCTGTTGTTGTTGGGCACCGACGTGACCGCACACGCAGACGACGCCCCCGATTGACTTAATTTATTTACGGACGGAGTTATGGCCGGTGCCGGACCCCACATCAGCTCCTATACCACATAAACACACAACCATAACCCCATTATTACCGGTTTCACTGCACTAACTAATCACTGCTCGCTATACCTCTGAGGCCTCCTTTTTGGCCCGATTTCTGAAATAAGAGCGCCTTTCGATGAACTGTTTGGCGAACTCTTTCACGTCTTTCCCCTCTCCCAGATATGAACGCACGTAATCACTGATCTCGAAGGGAGACTCCACGTCCTTTAGAAATGCTATGAATGTCGGAACTGTCCAAACAAACCATCACATCAATCATCACATAGACTACCAAATCGGGGCTCACTTACTGTCAACACTCGTTTGATATTTAGAAAGGGCTTCAATACACCATTGGGTGAATTCATCCGTTTTTTGTCGCCTTTGGTTTTCGAAGAGTCGTAAAACGGATTCCTATGAAACGAATGCAAAACAATTTGGTTATGAGTTGGCGACCAAACAGTGTGTCAAATACCTCTTCTTTTTTATCCCTGGCGTTGGATTTCGTGTAAAATTGAGTGTTATTTGTATTGCCCTTTGAATTTAATGCTTGCATTGAAGGTAAGGCACTATCAATGGTGGCTCTATTGGTCTGAACAGGTTTTCGCGGTTCCGGTTCCCAGAAGCCGATGGGGGGGTTGTTGTTGGTCTTAGGTGTGGGTTGGAGGGGCTGCTGCTGTGGCGGCACTGCCTGTCCAAAGAGCTGATTGTTGGCATTCGTCCAAATGCCAGCGTTTGGCACATTATTAGTCACTTGTGTTTGTTGTCTCTTACTCTCAATGGTGCGCTGTTTCACCAGTTTGTCCGCCTCTTCCTTCTGTATTTCACTCAATGTCTTGACGGGTGCGCTCTGTTGTTGATATGCCGGTGCGGCCCATCCCAGAGACTGCTTGTTCTGTTGCTGCTGTTGCTGTTGGGCCGCATAGAGCGCCTGAATGTGCTTCTGTTGAGCCATTTGTCTTTGTTTCTCTTCGCGATCCTTCTCCTCCTGGAGTCGTTGGATGTCATCCAATGAGAGAGAGTTGTGTTGCTTTTGGTTCATTTCGGGCGCCGTTTGTCCCCAACCCTTGCGCTGCTTTTCCTGTTGCTGTTGTAGTTTAATCATAGCCTCCTGTTGTTGCTGTTGTTGTTGCAGTTGTCTCAGTCTCTCCATCTCCAGCGCTCTCTCCCTTTCCATATCATGTAATTGTTGTCTTTGTCTCTCTTTTTCCATCTCTATTTGGCGTCTCTTCTCTTCCTCCTGATGTGCTTGTCTTCGCGCGTATTCCTCCAGTCGTAACAACTCTTTATGCCTTCTCTCCTGTTCTTCGGCAGTCCTTCGCTCTTCCTCTTCGATACGAAGCCTCTCCTCCTCTTCGCGCCGTCTCTTCTCCTCCTCTTGTTTGCGGAGCAGCTCTTGATTTCGGAGTCTCTCCTCTTCGAGCTTCTTCTGGAGCTCTTGAAACTTACGCTCTCTTTCCTCATTCATGTGCCTCTGGAGCTCTTCGGCCTCCAGTTTCTTGCGGTTCTGTTCGTCTTCAAACGCTTTGCGTCTCTCCTCGAGTTCTTTCAACTCCTGTTCCTTTCGTTGCATCTCTTCGATGGCCGAAACCGAAAGAGCGCCCGAATTCATGTCCCAAATGCTCTGAACGTGTTGTGGATGACTGTTATTGTTGACCATTGGTTGCGGTCTCGCGTTTTGGATTCGGAGACCCGACAGTCCGTCCAAAGTAGCGGCCATTTGTTGTGAGACGTGCTCTTCATTTGCAGATCTTATAGGAATGGATGACTGAAGTGATTGCTGTCTCTGTTGCTCCAAATGGACGTATCGCTGGACGAGTACCTCCTGTTGCTGTTGTTGTGACAGTTCTGAAAAGCCGTCTTGTTTTTTGAGTTGAGCCAACAGTTGTCTCAACTGTGACTGCATGTCAACGCTCTGTTGATTCGTCAAAATGTTTTGCTGTTGCGGTGGTTGTGATGGATGTGGTGTCGGGTGTGACGCGTGTGGTGGCAACTGATGGTGCAGATGATGAGGCTGTGTGGCGGCCATGGGATGAGATGCTGATGGGTGTGAGGGAGCGGATGATTGTGTGCGAAGGGGCGGTGGGTTCGAGCCCTGAACCAGAATGAATGGAATACATCCCCAGTGTTTGAAGAGTTCGCCCAACTGTGAGAAGTACTCATCGCATCCCCTCCTGACTAGAAGATCCATTGCGAAGTAACCGGCGGTAAACCAGTCGTACATCTCGTGCGGAGTGAACGGCCCCTGGATCTCGTTCTGGGGGTCGCGATAGAACCACTTGAACGCGTCCTCGTGTTGCACCGGCAGCACAACAATACTGTTGTGTGAGCTCTGGTTGTCCTCCACTGGGGGTGTGTTGTGAGGGGCGGCCGCGTGTTTGGGCTCGTCATCGGCCGTCCACTGCGCCACCATATTCTCCGCCTCCTTCTCCAGATGTGCGAACTGCGCGAACCCGTCCTCTTCGGACGCGTTCTTAATGTTATGAGAGTTTGAATTAGAATTCAATGAATCGTTTGCTTTAAATAATTTATTTGAAGAGTTGGAAGGCGTTTGAGATGAAGACTGCGCCGACGAATGGAGTGAGTGTTTCGACTGGTGAAGAGTGGCATTCGTGCCTGAGTTGCTATCATTTTTATCATCGCTTTTCGACGATTTCGACGTGTTTTGGTTTTGTTTTCCAATTTTAGACTCCTTTTGGTACTCATTGTTAAGTGATTTCGAGTTTTGATTAGACTTTTTGGAAATGTCATCACTTTTAAGCGATTCTCGCGCGTCATCTCTACTATCGTCCTCCAAGTCATCGTCATATTTGGTCTCTTCGTCATCATTGGTATCCTCTCTGAAAGCGCCGGAAGCGTCAAACGTTCCCACTTTGGCGTCCAGATCTGGTCCGTCATCGAGACTCCATTCAGGCAAAGAGCCGCGTCTGTCGTTCTCCGAGATGTCATCCCACAAGTCGTTGGGATTCTTACTATTTGAATACCGGTCCGAATGACCCCTCTCTCCACCACTTCTCCACAAACCACTCCTATTATTATTCCAGTTATCTGTGGGCCCTCTGGCCGTTCGCCAGCCCTCTCGGTCTTCACCCCTTCCGCCAGTCCTCCAGTTCTCCACAGAAGACGAACGCGAGTTGTTTTTACGTGAGTTGTCTTCTGCGCCACCAATACCTCCGCCGCGACTAAAACTTCGCTCAAATTTCTTGTCTCTTGGATTCACGTTCTCTTCATTTAAACTCAGGTTTCGTTCAAACGTTCGGTTCCTGAAGTCCCTCCTCTCTGGCGGACTGTCACCACTCTCTTCATAATTGTTTCGGTGATAATATCCGCGACCCCTTCCCCGACCCCTATCGGATAGGCTGCCCCCTCGGCCGGCTCTGATTGAAACGCCTCCCCTCTCGCTGACAGTGCGGTCGCCCCTTTCTGGTCCATTGCCTCCCTTTCCCATTAGTCTGAGCACAACATCACTATTAACACGATTCCAGAGTCGCGACTCGTCTTCAGGCATATTAGTCAGAGCTAAAGGTATTTGCATTTTCTCGACGAAAAGGTGCGGGAATTCCGCTAAACTCTCGGGAGGTTTGAGGTTATGGTTGAAGAGCGCCAGCATCTCTTCCCTTCCGTATCGATACTCCGATAGCTTGTACTTCGG